AAATTTGAAATTCTCATTCTAGGTTTGTTTGGCTTTATCGATAAAGGTACCGAGAAGAAATGTAGTTCTATTGGAAAAACAGGTAATCTTTTTAGAAGTAATCTTATCTATACAAGCTGGCTTGGGTGCGTCATTAGCATTACATTTCAATATCGCGGTTTATTTAATTGGTTTTGCCCACACTACCGTTCAATATCATGAAAGTAAGCGCAACCTTCCACACGCTAGCCGGAAATATAAACCGCAGAGAAAGCAAGTGTAAAAGTGCGAGAATACATCAGGACAAGTAATATATCTACTTTTTTTGCACCCTTACTGACAAATTTCTCGTCTTTATGCTAACCGAATATCATAACAGACGAATTTTGCGTCTCAAACGGATCTTTAGTCTTATTATATAAAAGCCCTTTAATTTTAATATTCTATATTTATTCATTTAAACTGCACGAAAAAATATATTGTACAGATTTCCAAGCCACTTGCCCAAAAGGATGGGTCGCACATGTCGAGTTTTGTTATGGAATATTTGAACAACCCGAGAGAAGCTGGAAAGAATTCCCGCCAAAATGCGCCGTTCATAATGCAATGTTAGCTATGCCAAAAACAGAGGAGCAACTAGGATTCCTCAGGAGTCATTTACGAGATCGTGGGCTTCTTGGCCGAGAGTTTCATATCGGTCTTCACAAAAGAGGGCATACGTGGAGGTGGAGCGATCATAACGAGGTCAATATGGATTCGAATTTCAACGATTTGTATGGTGAGGATAGCAATGACGTCAACTGCGGAGTCTTCTTTAAAGGCCATATTAGGAGTTCTAAGTGCAGCAAGGCAAGATCATATATATGTGAAATAAAAAGAGGTAAAAAACAATTAGGTATATATAGCATTATTGTGGTTCTTCTGCTTAATACAGTCAATATCATTAACGTTGTTCAGTTAAGACAAAGAGAACAACAACAAAGTCATTTGCTTATARATCCCTTTCATGTGACGTCAATTTAGCTTCATATGTAGGACAGGTTTCTCTTTTGGGAAATAAATCCTTTTTGCCCTCCAGTTGGAGCTGGAACTCAAACGGTCTTTATCATATCTTTAAATTGTTTACAAGAATATTCAAATGAAATTGTTAGAATACATACATAAATGACTGTTGATCTAAAGTTCAGAATTACAATTCAATATTAAAAACATTTTTATGCAAATAAATTTGTCAGTGAACAACGCTTATGGGGTTGACTGTATAGTTTTTTATAATAATAGAGTGCAAATACTGGAAGTATGAAAACACTCTGCACTACCTGCTAGTAAATCACCTAGATTAAACACAAAACCTCGCAATAAAGGACATTTKTGCCMTTTTTACCRTAACCAATCAGTGTGCAATACTATTATTACAATTTAAGGGATGGAGGCAGTTCGTATCCTGGCCTTTGGAGACAGCTTAACTCGTGGATACTACGGCGGAGGAAAAGAGCATCATCCATATACAGAGAAATTAGAATTTCTTTTGAATACGGACTCCCATAAATGCTTCATCGTGGATAATCAAGGCAAGGATAAAGAATTCGCTGCTGATATGACGAAAAGGCTGAATAAATATCTGCAAAAAGGTATAAACTTAAGTTATAAAGAAAAAATCTAAGAGCAGTATCCTCCTCTAGAATCAATTGCAAAAATTAACCATTATGTCTATTGTTGCAGCACCTTCCTGGTACAARTGGATAATAATTTTAGGTGGTACCAACGACATAGTACATGACAAACGACCTCCTTTAGAGAAGAACTGGGACCGAGTTGTTCATGACGTCATCATGGCGCATCAAACAGCCCATAAATATGGYTTCAACACAATTGTAGTTACAATACCGGAAATAGACTGCGAACAGACTCCGAAATCTGACTGTAGACGAATGCACAAGGAACGACTTTATGTAAATGAGCGGTTACGTCATTATGCCATGGAAACGAGCGCTGCGGTTTTGAGTGACTTGGCGTGGTTGTTGCCTAGGTACGCCTTGGAGGCGGAAAAGAGACTATATTTCTGGGAGTCTGGACTTCATATGAAGCCTCGGGGATATGATAAAATGGCAGAAATTATTTATAAAGATATCGTGAGAAATATGAAGTAGATATGATAAAAGTAACTAGAATTTTTCTGTGAATTATTTGGAATAGTTAATAAGGTATGTTTATACTTAGCAATCCAGT